CCTATAATGCAAAATTTCATATTCACACAACCAATGTTCATTAATACTAGTAATATCTGGATTTATGTATATCATTTAATAATATATTTAGTTCATTCTTTTTATTTATTATGTCTCGAATAGAGTATTAAATAATTTACCCCTGTCCGATTTTGTCAATTTGGAATGATTTATTAGCATTGACATACAGTGGCGTAGCACCTGATTCGCTTCTAATTACAATTTTTAATACAATCCTTGTGAGCCCCTTCCCACTTCAGTTGGCCCAACTATTGAAATCTCAGTTTTTTCTTTTCAAACACAAATAATAAAAATGTAGCAGGGTGTTATAGGTTTAAAATATTAACAATGAATATTTTGATAATATATAGTAGAAAACACCAACTTTGTCACTCCCTAATCAAATTTGCAGCATAAAAATAACACATGTTGCAATTACAGCATATCAACCTATTTTCATTTCAATGCATAGGTGGCTGTGAAAAATAAAAGCCATGACTATTGTTTTTATTAATCACAGCTGTCAGAATACGTTTAAAATAGTTTTGGGTAGTTAAGGTTTTCAAAATGGGTAGACGAAAGGTTATTAGTGAGAAAATTCGGTTACTGATAATTAACTTTTTTAATTTTGGGAAAACAAACTCAGAAATTGCAACTTTGTTAGACTTATCGCGGTACAGTGTGAGAAATATTGTTAAAAGATATAACGTAACTGGTTCAGTCAATATTAAGCCACGATATGTGAAAAAAAAAAGTAATATCACAAATGCCGACCGAAGAGCATTAAGAAGAATATTCGTGAAAAACAGGCGTGCCAATTATTTACAATTAAGTGTTCTCTGGAGTGACGCTGCTGGAAGGAGAATTTCGAGGTCCACAACTCATAGAGAGGCCCACAAACTGGGATTTAGCACTTGAAAGGTAAGTTTTCTTATAAAAAAGTGAAGTAAAAACCCTAAAGTTGCACAACTTGTTTATAGACCAAAGAAAAGCCACACTATTAACTCCACTGCAAAAGAAAAATCGGCTTAGATGGGCTAAAGAACATGGACAATGGACACCTCAACAATGGTGTGCAATACAATGGAGTGATGAGGCCCGATTTGAAGTTTGTGTTGGTGACAGTCGCAGTAGAGTTATTCGCAAAAAAATGAAGCATTCCATGTTGACTGTCTGAAGAGAAAAGTGAAATTTCCAGCACCCATTATGGTCTGGGACGGTATGTCATCAAAAGGAGTAGGAAAACTTCCTTTTATTGATGGACATGTTGATTCAAACAAATATTTGGCAATTTTAGAAGAATCGCTTTTACCAGTGATGGAAGAATGTTTGACATCCGGCGAAGATTTTGTGTTTCAGCAAGATGGTGCAGCGTGTCATACCTCAAAAAAGGCTATAAAATGGATGGAAGAAAATAATGTGCCACTTTTGAAATGGGTTTCTAGCAGTCCAGATCTGTCACCTACTGAAACTTTGTGGCACGAAATGAAAAAGGTTCTACGACAACATCCTGCTCGTACAATCACCGAACTGAGACAAAAGCTTCAAGAAATATGGGATTGTTTTACACCAAATTTTAGCCAAAACTTCAGCCGTAATAAAAATAAAGGTGATGCTACCCAATGGTAGTCTTCCAATTGTTGCTTTGTTAACTTCGCGCATTTATTCACACATTGTCTATTTGTTCAGATGTTCTATTAGTTATAGTTCTAAGTGATTTCAAATATGTAGTTTTTACGACTAGAGTGTATCTAAAATGTTTTTGAGAAAATAAATTGTTTTAGAAGTAAATAGTTTCGTCATGTTTAGTTTATAAAGGCATATTTTGGTACAAATTTTGAAGTGGGCCAACTAAAGTGGGAAGGGGCTCGTACTAATTAGTTATGAAGAACTTCATTTAACAGTTTAGTCAAAATTCTCAAATTATTAGGACCATCAAACAACTGAATGGAAGTGTTGACAAATTTACATGTATAAACAGTTTTATTCGCATATTGATGAGATGGTCAATTTTTGTGTCGTTTGGCTTACTATACTAAGGAACAACTATAAGGTTAGTTGTTCTTGTTATCGGATGTAAACTTGTCAACCCTTGCTGTAGAGATGATGGACAGATCTGGCTGAAATCTGACCTCTACAACACCGTCTCATTGTTACCATTGGTAACAGTTAAAAATCTTAAAACTAAATGTATGACTATGTACTGTGAAATAATTTCATTTATTTGTTTACCACCAGCAATATGTACTAGTAATTTAGTAAATAGCAAATTAGCCCCACGAAAATAATGCGCCCTATAATATTCACTAGATTTTGCGAACGCGAAAAAGGGGCCTCGCCTTCATTTGGTCGTTACCATTTTCGTTTATGGATACACTTGATAGTCCGTCGGTACCGGCTCTTGTCTGCTCGCGGTCGCCCAAGTGCTTGGGCCGTCGCGATTATTATGTAGACTTGTTACCATTTTTTGTTTTGGTTACTCACTTCTCCCTCGTTAGTAATCGTTTTGGTTGCCGATTGTAGTGTGCGTGCAATTAAATATGGATGAGTGTCGCTGCGTAATCGAATAACTACTTGAAAAGTCATTCTCCTTGTTTAATTTTGAAGATAAAAAGGAGATCACTGAAAATGGAATACCAACACTTATTTTAGATACTTTTAAAAAGAAATAAAAAAAAGTAGTTCGATATTTTAAATTTAGTTGGTATATTGGTTTACGTTTACCAAACAGTAAAAAAATTAAACAACTATTGCCTATATAATCTAGCAACGTTAATGAAGTTGCTTGAAAGTGTTGTTACTATTTTTGATGCCGCTCTACCAGAGCATATCTCTAATTTAAAAGCGGTCGTTGGGAAGCTACCGTGCGGACGTCGGGGAACTACCGTTTGCCTTTGGGTAATTTTTCGCGTTGCGAAGTCCAGCAGTCAAATGTGCGAAGTCGTAGCGTGGTGGTGTATTTTGGTTTTTGCGCATTAAAGATCGGCAACAAAAGAAAGGCAATGACAGGGAGGAGAAAGGATTCCGTGTGGAAATATTTTAAGGAGACTGATGCCAAAGCTGGCTCGAAAATGAATAAAAGAGCAAAATGTTTAACCTGCAATATGGATATAGTGCCACTGGTAGCTAGGATATAAAAATTGTAAACAACTTAAATAAGGCAGTTTGTTAGAAAAACAAAATATTCATATATCGGATAGTTCTGATATTGACAATGATGTTTTTACCGAACCTATTTCTTCCTCAAAGTCAAGTAGCTTGGGGAATTATGAAAAAGGTAAGAAATTTTGTTTAAATATGTTAAATATATACGAATTAAGAATAAAACAGGTCCGTATTAAGGCTCGGTATATACTTTTTGTTTTGTACAAGCAAATTTCTGATAATCAAACGCATTGAATTTTTAAGATATTATTACATAGGTATACTTTATTTTTTAGATGGTTCGTCACAGACCTACTACACTAACAGCAATGTTATTAGTGCTTCCAGTTCAGCGACATCCAGTTTTTCACTATTGACGAGAAGACAAGGAGATAGAGACGATGTCCAACTAAAATAGCGACTGGATTCATTCGTTGTCAAAAAAACATGTAGCGAGAAGAAAAAGATTGATATCCAAGTAGCACGTTTTGATTATGCCACAAACTGTACTTTTAGAGCAGAAGTTTAATATAGTTTAATATTTTCAATGCATCTACCAAAAATCTCAAAAGTCCATTCACTGGACCTGGCCTGGCTTCCAAGGTTTTCGTGTTTTTACTTCTATCGGTATTTTACTAATTGTCCGCCCGATAAGTTGAGAGGTTTCTTTTTTAACCAATCACTGAACACTTTTCAGTAAATGTAAATTTTTAGATTCTTTCGCTCATTTTGATCATAAAAGTTGCATGGCATTTGCTGTAATCGTTTCGCGTTACTATATGTCAGTATCCTAAATATAGTAATTTTCTGTGCTGCACTTATTAGTCAAAACTACTCAAAATATGAATTTAAATGTAATATCTAAATGAAACTAAATTTCGTTAAGGAACTGAATTCAGAAATTGATTAACCTATCGTGTTAAAATTTTCATCTGAAAACAATAAAAGGGTTTTTTCTTTATGTTGTATTGAAAAAGCTGATAAAAATGAAACACAGTTTTCTATTTATGTAGATTTTTATTACAACCATCAGTCCACTGATGATATTATTTCAGAACGTTTTTAGATAACAGGTAACTAAGTTCGTAAAATAACGATACACAATTTTCATTCGCGATCCGCATTTCAACTTAATACATCACCAAAATAGTAATAATGAAATGAGCTGTTTTCTTTCTACCTGCATATTAATGTTTGTTGGTTTCATAATGTCGCTTCTTTTAAAGGCGTAGATGGCAAAAGGACAAGGTCCGACATTCAACTTATCGATAAACAAAAAAATAAATAAATTTATACCCTATTTACACAAAATCGGTCCGAACCGTATTCCGAATTTCAACGTCGGAATAAAACTAGGAAGTAATGACAGCCTTTAAATACGTATTTATACCCCCTAACCTTATTGTTCTCGAGAAAGCTTTGCCAACGTCTCTTATTTCTAATACTATAAAGATGGTTCAATGAAACTTGAACATCTTAGTAGGTTAATGAGGTTTGAGAATCTCTATTGTTGCATTGAAGTTGATCACGTACAGAATAATTGCCTTCTTTGACGAGTCTCAAACTATGAATTTTAATATAAATGAATCGGCAGGGAAAGTTTTACAATAGTTCCTTCGACAATCTCGAGTTCAAATACCGCCCGTGCACGCGTAATACGGTCCAGAAGAATTGTCAAATTGGCCTAAACGTCCCTGTCTAATCAGGGCCGCGACTGGAGTGTTTTGTGTTAATGATTAATGCGTTGGTACTTTATTTTGAATATAATAGTAGTTGAATGACGTGACTTAAACGATGAGGGTCTTAATTTCGTCGTAAAGTACAAGCACGATGGCTCCACCAGTGCCTCTGAGTACGTTGGAGAATGCTCCCTTGAAGAAGGCGGCTCCTCCTTCAGACTTTGCGATGGTGACCCAACAGTGAGCGGTACTCTTGTAGACGATCTCAGCCTTCTTACGACCAGACTGCATCATCATACGCCTACGCACTGTGTCGAAGGGATATGAGATGATACCGGCTACTGTCGTTACAGTCTGGAATAGAAAAATATGTGGTTTACAATCTGTTTGCGCGATATAGGTGAAATCGAATGTAACCTCAAGCTTGATAGTTCATCTTAGCGAGTGTGGCATGTTACTACTAACTGCTTTCTGTCTACTACCGTCTTAACTAGTCGCAAAAAACATCGTTTCACTGTCATTAGAGCTTGTCAAAACACATAGATCTAGGGTGGAGGACAAGAGCAGTTAAACCATCGTCTATGCGATGAATGCTACAGGTGATAAGACATGCACCATTTTGACTGACATCTCGGATTTGAGGGTCAGGCTCACAACTGATCACTGCACCTTTCTGGTTGTACCATGCCACTTTAATCTACCACACTATCACATGATTCAAATTTAGTTTACATCAAAATTCGATAATCGGAAAATATGTGAAACTAGGGTTACATTAACAGTTGAGAGTAAAGTGAATTATTACCGGCACTAAACATAACTGAAAAGGAGTATCTACTTCCGTAAATGTGTTCGACTCTCAACATGTTCTCCATGGTAATGTAACCAACTCACGGAGAGCAACAGTACACTGTCTTTTCAATAGGTATTTCTTGGTGGAAAGTCGAACTTATTTACGGCAGATTGCCGGAAGCATTCGTAGTTTAACGTTTCTGTTTTAAAACGCCAGGTAGATGAAGTGTTATGGATCTGCGTCTATAGTGATAGCGCAAGTTTGGTGCTTTAGATTATCGACTGAGATAACCTGATTTTTTTGTTGCCAACAGTGCGAAGCAACATGTCAAATAAACAAGACTTTCAGACCTTCATGTTCTAACTATGCTTGCTTGTTACCCTGATGCAACGTTTGTGATAAATGTTCAGATGTACATTATGAGTATATATGCGTAAAACACTATTAGTGGTGCTTTTAGACCACGGATTCGTCCTGAAGATAGCCAACGTAATGTTATATTCCCTATGAGAATTTGTTACAGCTATTATTCTATTTACTCTGTATCCTTCAAAAAGGTGTCTCAAAGATGGTGCTGTAGCCGTCTATAAGCTTGTATATGGCTCATATACCGTGGGAATCATTTACATTTGAGGTAGGCCGAGTTTCAACGTGTACGAGAGAAAGGTGAGGAAGCGTGCAACGTGCATGTCAGAAAGAGTAAACTTCCGCGCTATTGTTGCCAGAGACAACTTGGTGATTGCATGTGAGCACACCCTTTCTAACCCTCTCTAACATAGGTGTTGCAGGCTTCTCTCTCTCATACTTATTGAAACCAGGCCGACCTCAACCGTAAATGATTGGCACATTAGACAGTGGTATATACAGGGTGTCCCAGAAGTCGACGTCAAGCCGAAACCGGGTGATAGGCAAAGTCATAACAGCTATCAGAAAAATATTTAAAAAATTTTTATGCATGGGTTTTGAAAATTATAGGTCTTTGAAAAAAATATAGAAATTTCACACCCTACGGCAGTCTATCAACTCCTGTTACTACAAATATTAACTTTTTTTGTATTTTATTTTTACAATGTAATGATGAATAATGCATCTCCAAACTGGTGACTCAACCTTACTGCCAACTTTTCTCGTTCAGGAAAAATTGCCACTTATTTCCCAACCAAGTATTCCAAAGTAAAACTTTGCTCAACTTTATCTGGCTGTACTGGAAAAAAATGTACTACGAGAGTTTGGCAAGTAACCTTAAAAGTTGGCGCATTTAATAACGATTCCAAAATGGTATAACACTTAGAAGATTACTCGTTAACTTATGCACAATATTTATTTGAAAAAAAAAACATGAAAATTTTTCAAAATTTCCTAATTAAACAGCGATTATGAAAACGCACAAGGACCCTTAAGGATAACTGTTTGCACAACAGTGGGCGTCAAAATGCTGCTGATGATGATTTACCTGCATAGCTTACACGAGTGGAACGTAGCAAACCCACATTTGATGAGAGAAGACAAATCTCAATATCGCTTCAAGATAAACCATTGGACAGGAATTTTAAATGGTAAAATAATCGGTCCGTTTGAGTTCCCAGAGACTTGACTGCTGAAGTTTATTTGGATTTTTTGAAAAATCATGTACAAAATTTATTGGTGGACGTGCCACTGAGTATTTACAGGGACATGTGGTTTCAGCATGATGGCTGCCCAGCGCACTATGCACTCTCAGTGAGAGAGTATCTCGATCAAAACTTTCCAGGCAGATGGATAGGGCGGTCTGGTACAATACCGTGGCCAGCCCGGTCACCAGATTTGAATCCGTTAGATTTTTTTTTACTGGGGAACTGTAAAAGAAAAAGTGTATTTCAAGCCGATTCAAAATGTAGCTGAGCTACGGCAAAGACTATTGGAAGCAGCTGAGTTTGTTCATAACCGTGGATTCGCTCGTTTAATAACCCGATCTTTTTTAAGAAGCGTGTATTGCGGCTGAAGGAAAACAGTTTGAGCATTTGCTGTAAAGGTAAATCATCATCAGCAGCATTTTGACGTCCACTGTTGTGCAAACAGTTATCCTTAAGGGTCCTTGTGCGTTATCATAATAGCTGTTTAATTAGGAAATTTTGAAAAATTTTCATCAGTTTTTCTTCAAATAAAAATTGTGCATAAGTTAACGAGTAATCTTCTAAGTTATACCATTTTGGAATCCTTATTAAATGCGCCAACTTTTAAGGTTACTAGCCAAACTCTCGTAGTACATTTTTTTCCAGTACAGCCAGTTAAAGTTGAGCAAAGTTTTACTTTGGAATACTTGGTTGGGAAATAAGTGGCAATTTTTCCTGAACGAGAAAAGTTGGCAGTAAGGTTGAGACACCAGTTTGAAGATGCATTATTCATCATTACATTGTGAAAATAAAATCCAAAAACAGTTAATATTTGTAGTAACAGTAGTTGACAGACTGCCGTAGGGTGTGAAATTTCTATATTTTTTTCAAAGACCTATAATTTTCAAAACATACATAAAATTTTTTTAAATATTTTTCTGATAGCTGTTATGACTTTGCCTATCACCCGGTTTCGGCTTGACGTCGACTTCTGTATATATATATATATATATATATAGGGGTGGCCCATCCATGTTTGGACGGAATATTACTCATAAACAAATATATTTTGGGGAAATCTATTTATGGGATCTTATACATGATATTTGAGGGCACATTTCTAAAATATTGGCCATTATACAGGGGTCCCAATTTCGACCTACATATCAAAATTGGAATTTTTCAAATGGAATGCCTCAAATTTTATTGCATATTTGGATAAACGAATTTAAAAGAAGAAAATTGATATAACATACATACTATGGGGTTTTGGTGATTAGCTACTGAGATATAAGGTATTTTGTCTAGGAAAACCCCTACTCCGGCAACCCCTCGGTCCGCCATTTTGAAATTTTGAGTGCCGAATTTTCTATCAAAAAAACCTACACACCTCAGCTTTTATCTTATTTGTTACTTGTTCGATTTTTCATTTTTGCTCATACAGGGTGCTCAAAAATGCAAATTGGACTTTTTCCCCAAATTTTCAAATGCATTACCCTCTACATTTGTGCAAGTTTGGATTCAATTTTCTATAAGCTTTTTTTTGGTATAAGGTTTGATTCAGATAAAATCACTAGATTTTGAGTTATTAAGCTTTTAATCGAACAACACACCAAAATTAAGGAAAACAGTCACATTTATAAAATATTGGCCATTATACCAATTTCGACCTACATATCAAAATTGGAATTTTTCAAATGGAATGCCTCAAATTTTATTGCATATTTGGATAAACGAATTCAAAAGAAGAAAATTGATATAACATACATACTATGGGGTTTTGGTGATTAGCTACTGAGATATAAGGTATTTTGTCTAGAAAAACCCCCACTCCGGCAACCCCTCGGTCCGCCATTTTGAAATTTTGAGTGCCGAATTTTGTATCAAAAAAAACTTACGCACCTCAGCTTTTATCTTATTTGTTACTTGTTCGAATTTTCATTTTTGCTCATACAGGGTTGTCAAAAACAAAATTGTAGTTTTTCACAAAACTTTAAAATGCATCACCCTGTATATTTGTGCATGTTTGGATTCAATTTTTTATAAGCTTTTTTTGGTATAAGGTTTGATTCAGATAAAATCTTTTGAGTTATTAAGCTTTTAATAGAACAACACAGCAAAATTAAGGGAAAAAATTACATCATCCATGAAAACAAAAGACAAACAGTGGGCTAGTTCCATATTGCCACTAAGAGTACAGATTTGATTTTGGAGGATGTCAACCTACAAACTCGGATACATATGTACTTCTAACATGATGGCGCACCTTGCGCATTATCATAATCGTGTGCGTAACTATTTGGACACCTGGAATAACAATGGGAGCGGTCGTGATGGGCCTATGTCTTGGCCTCCTAGATCACCAGATATGACACTGATGGACTTCTTTCTATGGGGCTACGTTAAGCAAGATGTTTATAAATATCCACCACCTACCCCGGAAAATATGAAGGAAAGGATTAAGGATGCTTTTCTGAACATAAGGGAACACATGCTGAGTGATGTGCAACGGTCATTTATCCAAAGACTACGGCTGTGTATTCAACATGGTGGAGATATTTTCGAGTAGTTTTTGTAGATTAGGTCTTGAGTAGTGATAGCTGTGTGTTTATGTTGTTGTTATAGTTGTTTTTCTCTATTATGCTTAAAGCTGATTTATACTGTTCTGATTGCTATTGTTTTTACCTCAAATCTGTACTCTTGTGTGACTGTTTTCCTTAATTTTGGTGTGTTGTTTGATTAAAAGCTTAATAACTCAAAAACTAGTGATTTTATCTGAATCAAACCTTATACCAAAAAAAAAAGCTTATCGAAAATTGAATCCAAACTTGCACAAATGTAGAGGGTGATGCATTTGAAAATTTGGGGAAAAAGTCCAATTTGCGTTTTTGACCACCCTGTATGAGCAAAAATGAAAAATCGAACAAGTAACAAATAAGATAAAAGCTGAGATGTGTACGTTTTTTTGATACAAAATTCAGCACTCCAAATTTCAAAATGGCGGATTGATTGGTTGCCGAAGTGGACGGTTTTTCTGGACAAAACACCTTACATCTCAGTAGCTAATTACCAAAACCCCATAATATGTTATATCAATCTTCTTCTCTTGAATTGGTTTACCCAAATATGCAATAAAATATGAGGCATTCCATTAAAAAAATCACAACTTTGAGATGTAGGTCACAATTGGGACACCCTGTATAATTTCCAATATTTTAGAAATGTGCCCTCAAATGTCATGTTTAACATGCCCTAAATGGATTTTCTCAAAATGTATTTGTTTATGAGTAATATTCCGTCCACACATGGATGGGCCACCCTATATATATATATATATATATATATAACTTGAGACGTGGTCATTGTCGTTTTCACATATATATATATATATATCTCAACCGTAAATGATTGTGCTATATATATATATATTTCAAAGTATCAGCTGTGAAAAATTATCATTCAAATAATTCATCCACAGCACTTAGCAATTAAACCAAATTCACAAACCTCGACTGGATTGTGACAACTTCTCATAGATGCCGCTACGGTATATTATTTTATCTGGAATAATTCTTTGAGGCGGGAATACAGCATTAGGTTAGCTATCTTCAGGTAGAATACGTTGATCAAATGACGTTGTATATCTTTACTCATGTATATTTTTACTTAAAAAAGGAAAAGTTGTTTATTATTCTCTCATTGGGAACAATCCAATCTATATTTTGTTGTTGCTGATGTATGTCATAGGGACGTACTCTTATGCATTTTACTTTCTGATCTTATACGTAATTTTCTACAGTCAATATCCATTTTGGGGTATATACTTTAAAATATTATACATTTATAATGCTGGGACAAACACATGTTAACATGATCAAGAATGAAATGATAATCCCAACATGCTTTCTTGCAATGAATATTTCAATGCCGACCATATTTTAGTTCTGAGAAGATGTACATGCACCATTCTTGTAATGTATTCTCAGTACTCCTCTTACCTTTGAGGGCACAAGCATCACATCAGGGCACTAACTCCGCTGTTACCTTCCGGGTCTGTCAGAATGCTTTATACATTTCTTCAATGTAATTTATTTGTTTAAGAACGACTAAACTTATATCACATATTCATTTATAGGTCCGACAGTTTTCAGCTTTTGACAAATCGGAGCGGAGCAACATTTGGCGAATTCAACTCGTACAGTAAAATGAAATCTTATATGGAGATGAAAAATCCTTCGCTCAGTTATTTTTTGAATCAACTACTAACTAGCTACATTGTAATGGCATTTGAGGTTGTGTATTTGTTGATATCATGGTGATCAAAATAGAATCAATTTTGGGATAAAAATATTAAACCCTATATCAATCACTTGATTCTCTGTGACCAGCATCAATGCAGGGTTGCAATGGGGTAATCGATTGAAGTGCATCATGTAATGCAAAAATCCATAGAAAATCACTTATATTTCACATATTAGCTGGATTTGTCTCGTAAAACTGACATCTAATGCAATAGCATCTGCCATTGAAAATATTAGATTTACACTAAATGAAGTTTACCATATATGGACAAAGTTCATCTGTAGTTGCTCTTCCATTTAACCCGCAAGAAAAAAGTTGGAACAAAAAGTGAATCGTCGTAAGGAGGTTTGGAATAAGACCCTGTTCAATTCACCTTTTGAGTATTATACGTACAGTGTATGATTGTGTTTAGCCCATCTGAGATCGATTGGCTTTAGTTCCAATAACTTTTTCAATATTATCTATCATCGGAACAGTGGTAGAATATTCATAGAGAGGCTTACCTGGGCAATGGCCCATGAGATGACCAATGGTGTGTTCTTGGGGTCAGGCAGGATACCCTTGGCGGTATCATAGAAGCCGAAGAAGGCTGCACGGTAGATGATGATACCTTGTACTGACACACCGAAACCTCTGTACAGACCAGCGAGACCGTCAGATTTGAAGATCTTCACCAAACAGTTACCCAATCCGCTGAACTCACGTTCGGCAGCGCCTTTGCCTACGTCGGCGGCCAATCTGGAATAAAAAACGGTGTCAAGTAGATTGACTGACATTTCCTGCATATTTTTGCTCATTAATTGCATCACGGAAAGTGGAAATGGCAACAAAGCCTGTCTAACGGCGAAACTCCCGTTCCTTGATTTACCGCTGGACAGACCGCTAGCCAATGTCATCTTTACCTTGATTGATACTCATATCGCTTAAAATGCATAATATTAATGGTAACATACTGTATATAAACACAGAGTAAGATTTCTCTTTGCCAAAATAAGTTGTTTAAAATTTTGTAGTCTAGCGGATTTATTGTTTGAGTATCCTTAATTTTTGAACGTTTCAACGAAGATACGCAATTTAGAAGGTAGAAGTAGATACCTTGAACATATTAGATTTGAAAAAATAGACTGCTTATTATGATTCTTGCGCAAAACTTTGTATATACTAATGCTGTTTAGCAATTCCGCGAATTACGGTCGAGAGTGAGGATCTTTGACCTTCCATCATATTTATTGGTCGCTTATTTACCTTGACATTGATTTAATGCCATCAGTCATCCCACATTCTAGTTTGTTGTACTTGATTATTCGAGAATATAAATTCTACGATTCCAATGAACTTTACATCTTATCAGCTAAATACTATAAAATCAAACAATCTGTATAAGAACAATATCATTTAGGGCTTTTCACAATATCAGTGATGTACTTGTTTACTCATTTTCATCTTAACGGCGATCCAGATTAATATATTTTTTGCCATAGCATAACATCCAAGCGTTTGTATGTTACATACGGTGTCTCAATAAGAGCACCGGATTTGATTTTTAAGAAAAATACGATTTCTTTTCGAATTAAGCGAGTATTTATATTTCAACATGAAGAAGAATAGTTGCGATTAAACACGAAAATGGACATCCCGTGAATGGCCACCACGAAACGACTGGCACAGGGTCAGTCTTTTCTTACAATTCTCGATAACGTTTTCACACAACTGTGGCTCTATTTCGTTCAACTGTTTGTGGCTTGTTCGCATATACCTTTTCCTTCACATAGCCCCAGAGGAAGAAAGTCCATCGGCGTTAGATCGCACGATCTTGATGGCCAATTTTGATTGCCAAACCGAGAGATGACACGGTCTGGAAACTTGGTCCGCAGTAACACCGTTGTTTCGCGTGATGTGTGGCAGGTCGCGCCGTCTTGTTGGAAGAACATATCCCCCACATCAATTCGATTCAACTGGGGCCACAAAAACTCGGTAACATTTCGCGATACGGCACACCATTAACAGTTACCGCAGTTTCAGCTGCTTTTCAAAGATACGGTCCTATCACTCCGCCACTCCACAATGCGCACCAAACGGTAACTCACGGCGGATGCATTGGTTGTTCGATTATTACACGAGGGTTTTCAGAACCACAAATTCGGCAGTTCTGCTTATTGACGTACCCGTTCAGTTGAAAATGTGCCTCTTCAGACAAAATGATTTTCTTCGAGAAAATCGCATCGCATTTGGTGCTGTTAAACCTTGTACGCATGCAAGCACAGATCTTTTATCAAAATTCGATGCAGAGTGGGTCTGATAAGGTTCAATTCTTGGCCACGATGCCGAATGGAATTGCCTGGATTCTCGGCCACACTTTCCTGCACTGCGACTATATTTTCGAGGGACCGACCAGGACGGCGACGAACAGTGGTCTCCACATTCAGCAACGTGAATTTTTTCTCAAATTTTGTAATTAAACGGCGAACTGTCGACTCATTTGGCTTATTACTGCGACCGAAAATTGTACGTAATTTGCGAATTGTTTCAGCGTAATTTTCTCCATTTTTGTAGTGAGTTTTCACAATAATTATACGTTGCTCGTTTGAATACTGCTCGATGACGTATAATCGCGTGGTCTGGACATGACAGCTGTCATCAAGTAAACAACCTACCATTTGTACAAAAAAAATGGCGGCAAATTCTAATCAGGTGCTCTTGTTGAGACACCCTTTATAAACTGTATACTCGAAATAATCGATTGAATTTTCATAAAATTTGGGTAATTGGTATAGTATTATGTCTCGTTGGTCCTCGAATCGACAATTCACCTTAGAACGTAACGTAACCCCAACGAAAGATAGAACCAATTAGATTGTGTTATCTGTACTTATACCTACACATTCAAACTTTCTGTGTCTTTATACGACCGTAATACGTTACATTCAAGAAAAGTGTGCATGAAGCCATAAACACATACAGTAACCCAAGCAAACACAACGATACAACGCTGGATAGAGAAAATTCTCATGAAAATACGAGATCTTAGTTATATTTTTAAACTCTAACATACTTGTACACGTGTGAAAATCATGCCAAATCGCAGAGTGCCCACTCAACCAATAAAAGCACTTTGGTGGTGAGAGAGGAGTTTGACTATTTTTTATTTAAAATAATAAAATCACTTCTTTTTAGGTTGATATGGGAAAGACACGGGTGTACAAGGTGCCTAGAGCTGACCAAGTAGTATGATCTTGCTTGCTGAATACTTTTCCAATACAGCATTCTATCGTGGAAATGAAAATTAGGTATTTTTTGGAATACGTGTATTGTTTCGAAAAATTCGAATTTTCTGTCAGATTGTTGGATTAAGGCCAACGAAAAACTTAGATATCTTGCACTACTACCAATAATTAAAAGAGAGGAATTTTATGTAAAAATTTCGTAAAGGTAAGTATATAAAAAAAATTCGGTTTTGGTTTCAATTACCATTTGCGTCCTACTGATCTGAGATGACCACCAATTAATAATCAATTTACCTGGCTCCTGATGGTATTCTGACGTTTCAGGTTTTCTATGATTAGCATTTTTCTCAACAATGAAATACCAAACAAAATAATTCAGCTGATGGGAACAGCAGATAGAGAATATGGAACTTTGTATCAAGCACAACAAAGATTGCTTTGCTGAATACCAAGTAGTCGGACATTTCATATGGTAACTCATTCGGAGCTAATAATGATAGTGTCCAGTGCAAAATTAATAAGAACCATTTTTGCTGTATATTGGCATAAGTGCTTGTTAGTTTCCTGAGCTGCATTCCAGTGAACCTGTTGAGTTACTCAGAGTAACTCAGTAGTGCTCAGCACTAAAACCATTCCACTGCATATTGTTATTCCCATGCATTGATTCTAGAACAGTTTGGGAGCATGTCACTCCCAAACTAAAAACCACTGGAAAGCAGCTCTGGAAAGAACATCTATCATCCAGGATACAAACCATACATATACTTTATATTACGTGTATTGTATAGCTGAGGCATAACAGGACTGGTATAGTTATTACCTGGTGACTATTCCTTGATCGATGGTGTTACTGGCCCGAATGCTGTGTGATGGTTTGATGAGGGGGGATAAGGGGTCAAGTTACAGGTCTAACCTTTTTGTAGATAGGCATCATCAAGGCAGTGTCGTCATTTATACTACCTTTGACGATCGGTGGTCTAATACTAATACATATTCATGATATAAAGTGAATGATTTTATAATAAAAATATTAACCTGCCCGCAGAATGTTCAGCATTGCAGAATACGATTTTTGAGCACTTTAAAAATACTCACAATTCGACATAACATCAGCTAGAGCCAACAACGTATATCTCGTGTCACATAACCGTTCTAATTATAACAAAAACATCGTTCAAGTGAGTGCAGCATTATTTGTTTTATATGCAGAAAAATTTCGCTGTTTCGCGTTTTCTCCCATGACCTCAGCGAAAATCGTATAATGGACGACGATTTGATAAGAATGTGTTGATAAAATGTCTGTGACCCCTAGGAGACCTTGCGTTTCTGTGTGACCAGATTTTGATAAGACGCAATTGCAGGCTGATTCACAGATTTGTACTGTGAGATAGTGAATTTCTAATAAAATTAAGTGTAATTATTAAAGCATTCTCCAAGAGGACGCTCAACCATATTCTATATTTGGACGTTAACCTAAAATTTCCATCATCACAGCTGTGTCGCCAAGTAGAGTCACGCTCATAATTATTCCTAAGACTTAATATTCTCATAATTGATCAAGGATGGAAAAGAATGCCGACGCCTAAAGGCAGTGGTCGACAGGAATATAGTTGTATGCACAAGTAGTTGACTTATTTTTGGACAGTCATGGCTTTCAATTGTTTTGGGTATCTTCTGGTGGAGCATGTCAATGTAATTCATAAAATTATCAGATATATAAAATAAAAATGTTCACCTTCACTAAACCACATGGAGATTGTGGATCATGTATTTATAAAGCACCACTGTTTTTGCAAATCCATCGGTCAATTATACGATTGTGCAATTAGCTCAAAAATATATGGCCTGAAACTTGCGCTGTCTCAAAATGAGATACAAATATTTTAAACTATCATTGTGACAAAATCAGGATACAAATAATTTTCAGAATCGTGAGAATCTCAACAAAACAATCTTGGTTGGTACCTCAGTCCTTCCTATTTTATAATTTCTTTTTTTTTAATTGCTTGTATTAGGTTCCTGTTCAACTACACTATGAATCGAACAGTGATAGTCGACGCAAATGTGCATGACTGCATACGTAACTTTGGCTGTGCGATACTGTCTCAGGATATAACTCACATGCAAGAATTTGAGTTACAAGTCAGGATTTTAATAACGAATGTGAGGATGCTGGTGTAAGACTGGTATTTAACTTTCAAGAAAAGATTAATACTAACCTGGTTCTGGCGAAATCGAGAGGGTATACGAAACACAAGGACGTGGCTCCGGCAGCACCACCAGATGCCAGATTACCCAAGAAGTAGCGCCAGAATTGAGTTTTCTTGTCTACTCCGCTCAAGAAGATCTGCTTGTACTTGTCCTTGAAGGCGAAGTTCAAGGCCTGAGTGGGGAAGTAACGGATGACGTTTGCAGTGTTACCACGCCAGTATGCGAGAACGCCTTGTTCCTTGGGAATGCGGACGAAGCAATCGACCATACCTGTAAAAACATCAATCGATGATTAAAATTGATATTTCAATGTTATTTCTTTATGTAGAAGTGCTACAGTGGGAGAACATTTTTCGCAAATCGTAGCGGTAGCAAAATCGGATGGATTAATCATTTGTCGATGTTCTCAATTGATAAATTTTCTCAGGATATCTATAAATTTGCTTCTTATAAAAATTAGATAGTATTGGACATATCAAATTCTGATAAATATACTCTATTTTTTTAATCTTATAGAAACAAAGAAATTGATTAAAACTTCGAAAAAATGTGACAATATGCTACTTTTAGTTTGTTGAAGGTTTGGGCATCCTTATAAATGACTTCATTTTTTTATAAGGAACCTACAGCGTGCCATTTACATAATGAGAGTTTCACCAAAACAAAATAAGTTCATATATAAAAGCTGTTCATTATTTTTCAGGCACAATAGATATTTTGTAATAATGAATAAAATAGGTGTTCTAGGTACTCTTTCCAAGCTGTAATAGTAATTTTAAATATTTAAACTACCCATTTGAAGTGTGACTTTAACGTTATCGCGTTTACAAATAGATGGGGTCCGAGTCCTTAAAAGGTAGTTAATCGAAAAGGTGTTAAAAATGAGGTACAAGGAAAATGGCGTTGAGTAGATTTTAGTGCACCATTTGGGATTTTCATGAAAAACTTTTCGTAAGATTGCAGCAAAGTATGTGTCCATACACAATAGACTCATTTCTTTTGAGCTCAACAATGTTTGATAACTTATTACATCACGAAATCCAGTAACCTCATTAAATTACACTCCAAGTATTATGCTCGTATTTGCATATCCCGTCACCGTACCGTCTGCTACCTGCTTTTATAAGTCCTTCGGATCCGCTATCAAAAACGCAATATTTACAACCACGTGGCGCACACCAAGTGCGACCGACAGGTATGCGATCCGCCTGCTGAACATATTTTTCAAGTTTTACGAGCAAATGCTCTACCGACAGTGCTGAGAAAAATTTCAAAACTGATCAAAATCCTTTGAAACGTGACAATACGAAGTTTGAGCGATTTTTATTCCCGTCGTTTTTCTCAAAAACTGTAAAGCTTTTTCGTCCTTGGCATAGTAGCAACCATGTGAAGCAATTTCATCGCAATACGAGCAAGTACTCCAAGACGGGCCAAGGATTTGCGGGCATACCGACGGAAATAAGTGACAGTTTTTCATGATGCACATGTCTTATAACATCCAAAAAACACAATATATCATTTCCGTGGGGAGTAAAACTTGTTTTTGACCTATTTTCTATTTGCATAACTTCCACAACAAGAAACGTGGAGGAACTTGTCTTTTTGGTTGGAGACTTAGAATAAATAATTTTGGAAAATTTACTACGCCTCTGACAATTATATAATCTGAGCATCCCAACAAACTACCTGTTCGAAGTTTAAAAATAATCAGTTAAATTTGGCAGCATCTTACGTGGTGTGTGCTTAACCTTGAAATATAAATTTGGAGCGACCAATTGACCTATACTCAACAGTTTTGGCATATACCGGTTTTTATTCAAATTTAAGGCGGCGGGACGTACCGCGCGACATTTTTCAGCTGTTTATATGTCATTCGTAATAAATCGTCATCACAAACACTGGAGAGACATAATCAGACGTAATAATAATAAAAAATCACAGTGGCAGATTTTTAACAGGCTGCAGTGACCTACTGACATAAAATGGAACTGTATAATGGAAGACCTCAACTGTAGCAGGAACAGGGGTGCGTTTGTAAATCACTTGGTAATATAATAGCGTACACAGTAATTTAACGTAGATTGACAGATGAGATTTCACTCTGGAATACTGTGTAACTTTATTTTTAGAACGCCTAAATTATTACAAAGTTATATAACGACACTTGATTACGGCGTACTAATTTCTAACTACGTCTTTTGCCACCATTTTTCTACTACATGAAACGCTATGGATACGAGATAGACAATTTATCGTGAAAAATATATATTCTGCCAATTTTGAGTACTTTTTGATAAACAGTAACTTCTTGGAAAATCTATGCTAGTAGAACAGCAGTATTTGTAATAGTGAGCATGATAAGCTTAAGAAGCTGGAGCGCTTTCGCCTTAGAAGAGCATAAAAGCTTAGGTATATTGTGGGAGGTAGAGAATATTGCTTGCTACAGATTCCGTATATATTTACGCACCTACTAACAGACACATAGCGACATGGATTTCGTCATTAAGCTTGAAAGGACGTGGCAAGCATGATTTGCTATTAAACGTGAAACGTCTCGGCAATTGATATGAACCAGGCAAGTCTCGCGAGAACGAGTGTTAATACCAGTACAGCAGTTAAATCTAGTATGATAATCATCTAACAGACATTCATGATGAATTTTAGAATTACGAGAGCGCGCTTAACTATTTGTTTTGTAGAATATAGTTCCTTTTACATATGTCAATTAGTCAAGATCTAATTATGTTCCTAAAACTATATCACATGTATGAGGGATTTAAGTTTTGGTCGAAAACTATTGAGATACCTAATTACACTCTGTGAAATGAATATGCTGCTCATATACGAAAGATTAATCAGAAGCTTTTTGATGTACGTTATCATTTGGTGTCCTATCTAACCTATACTATCATGTACTTCATTTACATATTAAATAGAATCCTGTTTCATCAAAAAAAGTTAAAGATACGTAGTTTATTTATTCATTGTCACAAGACTGGCAACAATTCAGATAATATGCTGGAAAAATACTACCTTGCTGAGATGAGTTTAAAATATTGTGTCATTGATAAGGCGTTTCAATTTTATACTGGATAAATAGAAGAATTCATTGAAATAATTGTTTCCATTTTTTACCCATATCAATATTTACAATTATTGGAGATAACACTGTCGTTCATTAAAGTCTTATCAGGAATACGGATGTGATTTTTTTCAATCCAGAATTATTTTAAAAACATTATTGACCATATTGTTAGAACACATATTGAATTTATAGTGATAGGAAACCCCCTGAAAGGGACCTTAACTTAGTGTGCTTAAAATGGTTATGAAAAAGTATTTGGAGAATAGCTTTTATCAATAGGGAATACTGATTTATTTTAATTGACCTAATCATGCATGAAGTCCAGGATTCGTCTAGCAACATTTTATGAGTAATGAAATATACCCACAAACTAAAGACTTTATACTAACAAAGTATTATTGTATTCTACCTTTTCTTATTGCTTTCCACAAAAACGCAGTTATAGTATGTTTTTCACTGGTTTTAAATAGAACAGAACGATACAATCGATCGATAAACGTCAAGTTGTTTATTCAAACCAGAATGCGTAGTTTTCATTCACGGGAGTCTCACATCATACTTTTTGTACACAAAATCTATTTGGAAACTTGAAAGAAATCATTTGGAAAAATATATACTCTGGTATTTTATTTTCAAAGTTCTTATTCAACTTGAAGTAACTTGTAGCGTACGTTATATTAAATGTTGAAACTGTAAACACAAACATTTCAGAAAAAAACTGAACTAGAGGGGTTATTCACCTCTCGAAGTAGTTGTATATACTCCTATCGATTTGATTGCTGAAGTATTGGAAATTCCCCGAGTATAATGTAGCTTCACATGTTGCTAGTTTTGGATATAAGAATACGGTTTTTAATAAAATCACTTTTTCATTTCCACGAATTTTCTAAATGGACACTGGCGAGTACCAACATTGATTAACGTAGATACTGTAGCGCCATCTATTAGAGTTGGTCTCTGTTATTGAATAAGCGAAGGTTTATCGCTTAATTTTGATCGCCACTTATTTTTCAAAATATATTTAGTAAATAGAGAAACAGCTTTGATAAAATGTCATAGATGGCGCTACGGTATTTCATTTTTTTGACGCGGGAATATAGCGTTAGATTGGCTATTCTGGTAGAATACGTTAATGGTACGAAATGAACCCTTACCGTTATTACATTACAATTTCAAACGCGCACGATTCCTAGATGCATTAATTGCTTAATTGTATTTCGTATAATGCTAGAATTTTCTGACGACTGATGGAAGAAACTCTATACTTTGTACTAACCGCTGATAACAAAACAATCAAATAGCAACTTGCCATAGAGAGAACAAAAGAGTGTTGAACCCACGATGCAACTTTTATCTTAAGCATGACGTGTTAGTAGATTGCCATAGATACTTTCAAGAACCGGTATATTCGAGCAGGTATCCCACGAATTCGGGAGCGTATAAACTATTATAAAACGATTTGATAGGCTACAAAATTTCCTAACATCCTGGCCAGATATTCTTTTTTTGTTCATTTTAATATTACTACAACAGCTTTCTTCAGTGAGGTTTATAAATATGGAAATTGTCCAGTTTCAGGTGTACTATCTTTGTATTTTTCCAAGAAGCAAGACCATATTTAGTTACACTGTTATGTAACATTTCATATTTTTTAGAGAAAATGCAGGGTCCTGTATTTTCGCTGCTTCTTACTACCCGTACACAGTAGTAGATTGACTCTATACTTCCCACAACTTCTAGTACAATTTTCCATATAGTGCAATGACATCAAAAAGATGTATTTTTGTCAGAACCACCAATGCATAATTTGGGCTTTTCGTGAAAAATTTTTTCGCAGATTGCGGCAATGAGCGTATCCGTATACGGAGTCTCATTTCTTTGGAGCCCTGGTGTAAAACTGCTTTTGTGATAATAGGTCTAGATACATACTTCCATACTATCTAATATTACGCCATGAAATCATATAACCTCAATGAATTACGCTCCAAACATAACCCTCACGTTTATAAACGCGGCGCCACTTGCTATTATACCTGCTCGGATCGGATAGGCGATCCCTCTGCTGTAATTATTTTTCCATTTTTAAGGGCAAATTTACAGGCAAATCTATAAGGTGTGAAATATCGATGCCCTAATAAGAAAACCGCCTGACCCCAATTTTCCCCAAAATTACATTTTGGCTCCACCTTTCAGAGAGTGCCACCGTTCATCGATCTACCGAACGGTATGTTCGTAAAAAAATCTACACTGGCACAATATCCTAAACCGAAATATGCCTATCTCGTCGCTCCCAAAAACCGCGGGAAAACAGCCTAAATTTTGTGGGTATTTTGAAGTGATCAAGTGTCTGTTATTTTAAAACGGGAATTTAGCTCTCTCCACGGTTTCACTCAATCGTTCACATCAAATATCAAGAAATAAATGACAGGTAAGTTGCTTGCGTACATTTTCATTGTAAGGGTAGTAGGTACTAGAACTGTCTAAATAATGTATTATAGATTGGAGTTAAACAATTTTCTATGTAAATTTTTGGCGGAGTTAGGCAATATAAGTTAACTATAGTGAAATCAAGTACAGAGATAATTTTAGAACATAGTTTTGGGCATAATTTCAGAGGGGGGCGATCCAATGGTAGTTGATATCAAATCTTTGAAATATGAAGATGGATCAATTCAATACAAATTACGACATACGGAAGAACTTTGGAGTGACCTACCCAGAAGGACTATGAAATATGTTCCCAATGACATTAACTCTATGATACCTTACCTAGGTTGTATGAGAGTAGATTGAAAATGAAGAAGGAAAAATAGAAACTTCTATTTCATGGTACTCATTCAAAGCATAGATCAGTAGTATCATAAGTTATATCTCAACCTACCACAAGAATAAAATGTCCAGCTCCTCTCTGAGTTGTTATAATAAATAATTAACTAATTTTTATTTCGATATTATGAATCTCATTCTTATTTGTGCTAGTCACGTGATGTGTTTTTTTTTACACCAAATAAATGTTTAATTTTTAAATTTTATGGAAATACATGGATTGTTTAAGTTTCTTATGTGTATTCCTAAAATTATATAAATTTGCCTATTTCGCTAGTTTTATCCAATATCAGGCAGATATTTGCCTAACTCCGCATTGAGTGTAGAAGATAAGTATGATAAGAAAAATGGATTGCTAACCTAATTATGATAACATTCTAAAATACTTTGAAGTATAATATCAATAAACTTATGGAAAATTATTACTACAAATAGTTTTTCGACTCTCCTGAAAACTTTGCTGAATTGGACTTAGGCAGCTTTCTTATTAGGGCGAGGATTAATTAATAGGCGCGCAGAATTACTGGGATTAGGAAGTGAATTAATATACTAACATAAAAATAATTGATATATACCCTCCCTGACTCCCTACAACCCACATCACTAAAATTTTTATCAAAATTGATATTCCCTGAAACGTCGAAAAACGAAGTTTGCGAGGTTTCTATTTTTCATTTGTAGATTTTTTCTTTACCGCCATAGGAACGATTTTCAAAAACTACAATGTTTTTTCGTCCTTGGTTTAGTGTAAAAATGTCATCTAAATCGGAGCAGTCGTTTCTAAGTTATAGGTGGGTCCATAAGTAGAAGATAGCAACAGATGGAAGAGGATATTTATTGATTGCGTAGCCAGAACATCCGTAATTATTGATGTATAAGGTTATGCGGGAATACTGATGATTAGGTCCACAGTAACTATTGTGTGGTACTATTATTTTATTTCGTCAGTTTTCATAAGTTCCTTGGGAAATAACTAACTTTGACAACACTGCGTCGACTTTTACGTAATGTCATCATCCACGTGCATTGTGCATTACAGACGGAGACGGACAGACATTGAACATTTTCATGGCACAGTTTATTTGGCAAATATCTCGACGATCGATATTTTAACATTGGACGAGGTCAACTTTCGTTGTTACGTACTCTTAAAACACCGTAATAAATCGGTCGTATTATTATATTTTCGCATTTTCTAGGCAATTTTATTTCGAATTTTCTATTATTTGAACTTTGAATTGTTCCAGTGTAACATATTGATCTAACCTTGGGACAAGTAGAAGGGAATTACACTGAATAATATGATGAAGTAGTGACGACCTTTGAATTTTCGTAGTAGTATTTTATTGTTTTCTTATAGTTTAGAATTATAAATCATATTTTATGGTTAGTGGTGAAGCTTTAAAACTGGTTACTCATAGAGGTGAAAAAATACTCTTGGAACTTGTTGTCTTTGATACTGAGATCATAACCACATTTGTGTAAGGAAAGTGACTTTTAGCTTGAATTGTCTTAATGCGTAGATTTTGTTAGATGGTTTCCTTATCTATAGTTTCCCACCTAGAATTCTTGTTTTTAACCTTCTAATTAGTTTCCTTGGTATAAGTACTTTAAGGCCATGGAAACTTCCGGATTTTATTTTGGAGTCTGGATAATACAATAATCATTCATGGAAAAAAGTTTGAATCTATTTATAAATTCCTTCAAAATACACCCCAAAAATATTGATAAACCCTCTCTGAGACTAGAATAATCTAAAATTACATATAGCTATCTATGAAATA